AAGAGAGAGAGGAGGAGAGAGAGAGAGAGAGAGAGAGAAGGGTAATTTCCGAAAAAAAGAATATAAATATTATAATATTAATTTACTGCATCAAATTTATATACGTATACATTTCAGAATTTAAAATTTATTAACGTTATATATTAATAGATGTTTATGTATAATTGTAAAAATATATATGTGTATGTATGTATATATATTATATACATGTATGTATAAACTTATATATGTAAACATGTATATTACATATAATACATAAACAAATATTTTATATATTTATATCAAAAGTGACCAATTCACGGCATTTATTAATGGCATGTTTAAAAGGCACGGACTGTTAAATGTAAAAATATAAACAAATCAAAAGTGATAATAAATTTTGTTAAACAGAACTCTTTTCTCTTTTAATACAAGAGAAGAAAGTATAAGTAAAATTACAATTTTTTCTGTTTTTTTCTTTTGCTTAATTCTGTAGTAGAATGGCATACCAAAGATTTCGAACATCTAAAATAGCACGTCAAACAAAAAGGTCAGCCATTTCTACAGTGATAATTCTCTTATTATATGATCAATTCCCAATGAGAACTACCATATATGTTTTGTGAAGTTGCATACAGGAAATGCATTGTCAGGATTGAAATTCATTCCAATTCATTATAAGATTGTTAATTGCAAAAAGAAAATTATTAACAATATTTTTTTACTAAATTGTTATAACTAACAATGGTAAGAAACAAAAAAGATATAATACAAAATACTGATAAAGAATATTAATTCGATACTAATATGTAAGTTATAGATCAATCTGACACTTGTGGCTTGTGTGATTACTGTGGCTGTTGTGACCAGTATGACTATTGTGACTGATATGACAATGTGGTCATATCAATGTAACAATCGCGACTGGTGTGGTAATTTTTGCCGGTGTGGCAGTCGTGACTGGTGCGGCAGTTGTAAATCGATCTGACACTTGTAGCTGATATGGTGGTGGCTGTTGTGACCCATGTGGCCGTGGCTGATATGACAATGTAGTC